GATAAACCGTTCAAAAACCGCTCAAACCGCTCATTTTGAAGCAAGATTTTGAGCGTAATTGTCTAAAAAAACCGCTCAAACCGCTCAAATCTTGCTTCGAATTAGGTGAAAAATCTCGACGTAGTTATTTTTCATCACCAGACATTCAAATAGCCGGAGAAACTAGATTGAATCTTTTTTCAATGATTTTTTGAAATTGTATGAAAATTGTATGATTAGCATTTTTCCATACATTTGATGCAGGCAATTGTATGATAAGCTTTTTCTGTGTGGGGAAATTTAAAATAAGCATTTTCGGTTTATGGATGTCAACCCGGGGTCACATTACCTTTCCAGGCCTTTTTGTTGGTTTTAATCGGTTTTCTCTATAAAACAACTCAAAAATCGCTCAAAAACCGCTCAAATCATGCTTGAAAAACCGTTCAAAAATCACCGCAAGAAATGAGCGGTTTTTGAGCGGTTTTTTTAGCAAGATTTGAGCGGTTTGAGCGGTTTTTCCAAAAAAAAACGCCCAAACCGCCCAAACCGCTCAAACCGCTCAAATCTTGCGGATAAACCGCTCAAACCGCTCATATCTTGAGCGGTTTTTGAGCGGGATCTCGACCCGGGAATTAGTTTTATGTTAACTCAATGTTACTCAATGGAAGAAGTTGAATTAAGATTGATTTAAAATAAGAATGACCATACTCAAGAGAATCTAAGAGGCGATGCACTTTTGACAGGTACCTCGAATGACGCCTTAACGCATAAATTAAGCATGATGGCTAATGCGTACGTTTCACATTCTCCTTGAAAAATATTTGGAAAACAAAGATGGCTGAATGATATACTAAAAAACTTTCCACCCAAGACAGGCACCCAGTGGGTCAAATAAATTAGCACGGGTGCGATAGGTAGTTTAGTTTTAGTAACAAGGGGGGCATTCAAATTATTAGTGTACTTTTTGTATTTTTGTTCTGAAAAAAACTGAAAAACTCTTGGAGGCAAAATGTGTTATTTAACACATTTCGCCTCCAAGAGGGTTGAGTTTTTCAGAACAAAAATACAAAAAGTACACTAATAAATTACATGCGCCCCTTGTTACTAAAACTTAACTACCTATCACCACCGGTGCTAATTTGTTTGACCCACTGGGTGCCTGTTTTGGGTGGAAAATATTTTAGAATATTATTCAGCCTTCTTTGTTTTTAAAAAGGGCATCAAAAAAGGTCATAAGACAACAAATAAAATTTTAAGATCAAAAAATAAATGAATCCGAAGAGTTTTCGGATGAAGAAAACAGTTAATGTTTCGAATCACTCTGAAGAGGCCGGTTTCAGTTTTGGTACCAATTTTTTAGCTGCATTTTTTCTAGTTGCCTCGAATGCGGTGTAGCGTCTAAGCTCGTCCAGTGTCATTGAGATTCCTATGCGATTCATTGCCTCGTTAATTGACGTGGTCTTCATCCAATCAGGCACATCCAAAAATTTAAAATTCATTGGGACTGCCCATCGGGTCATGTTCATCTTCTTGGATTTTCTGAAAAAAGAATTTGAGGAGTTTGTAGAAAAGGAATTGAGTCTGCCCGCTAGATCTTCAAGTGACGGGTCTGGGGTGATAAAATATACGCAAGTGACTGGTGGCTTCTCCACTTCATTGGTTACAGCCTCCAAAACAGATATCTGGCAAGTGTTAAGACAGGTTGATTGGTGCAACCCCGGTCTGTCGTCGGACACTTCTACCAATTTAGTGAAGACTCTCTCCTTAGTTTAGTAGAAATGCGGTAGCTGTCTGGTTCTCAAGGGTCTAGCGTTATGTATAATGTGAGGGTCTGAAGTTTTTCGCGGCGGCAGAGATTTCATAGGTGACATTGCTTTCCGCTTAGTCATCCCCGTTGGTTTGGACTTCAAAGAACATTGAATTAGCTTTGGCTCAAGGGTGGCTTGTTCTGTGTGAGTTTGAAAGATGGCGGATTTAGGTTTTTCTTATCGCTTATGTGTGGTAATTTTGAGTTGGTTACCATCATCATGCACTCTATTATCGGTGGAATCGTTCTCCGTCTCCTCTAGGCTGTCTAGAAGAATTAGCGTTGGGTCGGGTGTTTATCCTCATCTAAGATCTTCAAAGTCTTAGGAGTTTCTCGGGTTTGAGTCTTGTCATGGTTTACGTCTCTTTCTTTGTCGTCGGTAGGCGGTTCTAACTCTAGCTTATTTCCCCTGGGTGGGTCTGCCGTTTTCTTCATTTTGTTCTTGAGTTTTTTTTGAGTTTTCGGCTTTGGATTTCTCACTAAAATCAAGTCAATCGAATTGTCGTCAATCTTTGTCTCCCTTGATATATTCAACAGTGTTTGGGAGGTATCTGATCTCTCAGGAGTTTGTCTTGATTCGCTTTGTCCTGCTCGGACAAGACCATTTGCAGAGCGTAATGGCGTGCGAAGTCGCTTCCTCTGATCTTCTTCCTTTCGCCAAACGGTTTTCCACGAATTAATCACAGCTGCACTTTTTCTGGCAATATCTAAATATTTTTTATAGCCTGCCGCTTCATTTGTGTTATCTGAGAGCTCACATTTCTAGCTGGTTATTTTATTTGCCTTGGCCTTTTTGTAGCAGGAAATTTGATTAATTGGTTCTTGAAGTTGTTTATATGTGAGGTTATTACCCGTTCGGATATTCACTACATGATTGACACAACAATCCCAATATTTTCCGTTTTTTGGCACGTGAGGGGGCCTTGACTGGAGATCCCGAGATAGTTGGTAAAAAAAAGTCAATAGCAGTTTCGAACATTGAGGATGAGTCTTCGTCCCTATATCAACCCTCAATGTCATCCGGAGAGTCCCCGTCATGGCGTTTGTCCCTTCTCATTAGCTCTATCCCCTTGTTTTTACTAAGAAAAGTCTATTTTTCAGTCTGCCTTGTTCGACGATGGCTTATGCCAGAATGGGTAAGGTGTTCTACAGAAATAAGTTTAAGAGGAAGAGCAACAAAGAGATCGTTGTATAACGGCTCTTAAGCATTTCATAATTTTCAATACAACAAATTCTGAAGAAGATTTTGGTTGTTCCGGTGCCATGACCATAAGTCATTCTGTGATGGTTCTAATTATTCTTTCGACTAAACCTGCTGCTCTGTGATAACCCACTGGGCCAAATGAAATATTTATGTTTTGCTCTTGGCAAAATTCGCGGTCTATTTTTTGAAATTAAGCTCGACTCTTGATCCTTTCTATTAGAACTAGGTATCCCATTAAGTGATATCTAATTCTTGAGAGATTTTATGACTGACTACGATGATGTGCTAGATGTTATTTGAGCTAAAGAGATTTTTGAAAATTTGTTTGTTTGAAGATTATTTTTTTAATACCCAGGATGAAGGTAGTGGACCGGTAAAGTATATTTTGTTTTTTTTTTGGTTCTGTTCTACGATCGTTGTGACTAATCCCAGGTCTCCTTGTTTAGATAGCGTGTTTATATTTTTACATGGTTTACCACACTCAATGCAGTTTTGTCTTTGCACTTGTTTAACGCGGTAGATTTTGGGCTACCAGATTTACAGGTGCACTGTCCTGTGAGATGTTGAACTTCGTGAAGTCGATGGAGCATTGTAGTTCTTAGAAAAGCCCGACTAACCTTACGTTGACGTGCATGTTGTTTCTTTTGGATGCATAAAAAATTCATTTTGCAATATGTGTTATTTGCAATCTTCATCTATCGCTTTATTATTTTTTTTAACACCAAAGATTGTTGAGTGAAAAGGGTTAAAAGTTTCGGTCCGATAAAAAAGGAATAATTTAGGTTTTATAGCTTTTGCGTTTCAATTTTGTTCAATCATCTAACCTTTGGTCGAATCCGCTGATTTACTTATACTGGGTACAAGAGTAGGGTATATGTTTACAGTCGAGTTTTTGAATCTTAGACAATTTGTTCTCTTGAAACAATGTGATTCAATATGTCGTTCAAAGTTTCAATGTTTGAAAAAAAACAACTGATCAGCAAGATGAAGAGCAGTAATGTCTAAGCGAATGAGAATTTTGGCACGCTGAAATTTTGCAGCTTTCGCAATTCGATTTTCACGAGCTTTTTTTTGTGATGTTAGTTTTAGTCAAGTTGACCTTTTGTTCCGACTTTCAATACGAAAGTAACGGCATATTTGTGCTCAGGGTGGGTTTTTTTTCTTCAACAAATTTCAACTTTTTAAGTAGCCATTTTTGACGGAATTTTTTTTTATCATTCAAAAGGTATTGTTGTCTTGAGCCTAAATTTAAAAAGATATTTTACCTGTGATTTTTTTTCGTAAAGTTATGAGGGTTTAAAGGTTGCCATTTTGACCAATTTGGGACAATTAACGCGCGATATAATTCGAGCTATTAATGATTAAGCGGAGATTTAATTCGTCTTAGAAGTCGTTCTAAATTGATTGATGGAAGCTTATTTGCCTTAATTGATTTGTTACATGGAGCGAAATCTGCCCTTTTGTACTTAATATGGCGTGTGGGAGGATGATTATCATAAAAAGTTTCAAATTTTAGAAAAAAAAATTTTGTTTTAATTCATTTAATTTTTCAAAGTTATTACTGCCCTATAAAACTTAAAAGGCATGCGGAACTTTTAGGGCTTTGCCCTGATACGAGCAGTCTTGCGAGAATATCTGGGCCTCATAATTTTAAAACGGAGAAAGAGGCTAATATGATTAACTGAAAAGATAACGACTTCTTTGTCGTCGTACGACCCGGTGCGGTTTCACCATTTAAATGCCTGGACAAACAGTCCACAAATGCTTTTTCTTTGTCAAGTAGGCGTTCAAAAATAAAACTGTACGGTTAAATTTTATCTGTGCAGTGGGTTAAACGAGATTGGACCGTTTTTGTATGTTTGTCATCTCTTAAGGCCCCAATCAATGCCTTCTGATTGGTTAAAATTGGTTAAAAAAATTGGCCTAGAAGATAATTCTTGAAATAGTCTAACGCCCAAACAAACTCCAAAAAATTAGTTCATCAGTGCTAAATTTCAATTCGGCTATGCTTAGAAATATACTGGCACACGCTACCTTTTTTCAAATGCCCCCATGGTATTGTTTGAGGGAGGCAGACCTACAAGATATGCATCGCATTTTAATCTTGTTCGAAATTTGCTATCAAGATTAGTTACCGTGTTAGAGATTTCTTTTTTGATTTTATCGAAACCCACGAGCTGTATATCTGACCAGTTGATCAGTTCAGTTTTCTGCAATAGTTCTCCTAAAGTTATAGATAGGAAGGCTAGATTTAAAATAAATTTTTTAAATTAGTTAATTGAACCCACTGGCGATATTATATCCTTAAAACAATTGACTTTTTTTATGTTTAATGGCTAATCTATCATCATCTAAAGTTTTGAGACATTTGTAATTTATTTTACAAAAATCTTCTTCTCCATCGACTGTAGAAATTAAAATGTTGTCCTAATAGCAATGTGTGTTCCGCATTTAAAGTGCTATCTGGCTTTAGGTATAGTTTTAGTCGGTCTACTGATGAAAATTTTTTGAAAATGATATTTTCCTTGTGGCCACTAATTGTTAGAACGATGCTATCGACCAGTTCAAACAAGTTAGAAAGATGGTACTGTTTAAGGAATATTTGTTTATTTAGCTTTTTTGAAATCAGAGCAAAATTGATTGAGCCATCGTTTTTGCCGTTATAACAGTTGGGGATAAAAACATTATTTGGAACATCTTGAAAATTTTTCTATGTGGCCGTCGTCGATTAGTTGGTCGATACAGTGCTTAACTTTTGGAAGTAGATGTATGGACATAGGTTCCCTTTCACTTGTATCGGTTTCAGTGGTTCGTGTGAATAACTGTTTCCGGTAAAAAAAAATTTTTTGAGCTGCCTGTTCTTGATAATATGCTTGGGAAGTTTTTAGATATAAACAATTTGAACTCACGTTGTTGGGTTGTCTTGGCTAATGAAATTGAAAAAATTGGTTTCAAATCTGATTTGGTTCCAATCTCCGCGACGGGAGTTTCCTTGGTAGTACCGTTTGTGCGGATGGTTTATGCTGTTTAGATACTTTTATTCCCAGCTTCACAAGATATCATTGCTCAGCAGGTTACTATCTGCGCCTTCGGTAAGATAGATTTTTGTTTCTCGCCTTTCGATCGATTCCTTACCACGACTTCTCCAATGATTTGGATTGTAATCCCAAATCGTTCGTTAGCCCTCTTGCTAAATTCGTCCACGGCTTTGATTTTTAGCTATCTTCCTCTCATTTTGATTTCTTGGTGTGAGTTCTTTTTATAAAAGATAACATGCTAGCCAAATCGATTTGTGTTTTTGTTGAAAAAGGATCGAGTTTTCCGATTGACATCATAATTATTTTCTTTAACTCGTGTCCCTCATGTGTGGACACTCTTCTAATTCCCTTTTCAATCTGGTCTTTTATGACATTTTTCTGAGCTATCACTGCCCACTGATAGGACTGAGATGTCGTCCACATTTAATTCCATTTCGGGGTTGCCCTGCGGACTATCCCGATAATTTTGTTTTTCTGGGAGATTTGAATTTTGTTCTACGACATTCGTTTGTGCACTGGCGGTAATTCTACAAGGTTTAGCAAGAGAAGCTTGGCGACTGCAGTTATTACATGTTCTGTCCCTGTTCGGACAAGATGTGATGCGTACTTTCTTGAATTCTTTTCCTAAAACGCGTGTTTTGTACGATGTTCAAATTCGGTTCACTTTTCATAGTGTGATTTTTGTACGGTGCCTTTTACAGAATATTTTCTAAGTTTTGTTTTTTGTTAAATTTTCAGAACCGGCTCACTTTACATACTGTGATTTTTGTACGGAGTGTTTAGCAGGATATTTTACGTAATGATGCCTTTTATGGGCTAGACATAGAGAAAAACATTCTCTGGGCTAAAGTATTTGAAAATTAATTCCCCAAGTTCTGATAGAGTTTCATTAAACTTCTCTTGAGACCCGTGGTTCTTAGGTTCTCGGCCGGAGAATTTGTATCTTTCGTATCATAAGCTTGCAGTTACTGTGACCTTGGTTTTTAATAGCTTCCAGAATTCCGCAAATTTGATGTCAAAATCATTTTGCCAGATTCTTTCGGCGATTTCTTTTAGAACCTGTGATCCTTAAATTGATATCATTGAAATGTGTATCAAATCGAACGTCCCCGTAAAAAAGGTTTCGACCATTGAAAATGGGGAGGAACTTTGTATTTCGGTGTGTTTCACTTTTCTTCCTTTTTTTCCACGCAAAATCAAGTACGACAGAAACTCATCAGACTTGGTTGAACGATATATAATATCAGACCCTTTTCAGTCGTGATTCAAACGACATCAAAAGATTTCGGAAAAATTTTCCCAATGACGAGAAAACAGGTTTGAAATTTTTGATTTTTCGTCTAAATACGCGCACGCTTATTTATGCTTAATTTTGACCAGTTTTAATATTTTGCTTAAGCACAAACTTTTTTTATTCTAGTAAAAATAATTTCAAGTCGAAAATGTCTAAATTATAGTTTTAAGTCAGATCCGTTTATCACACCTCGCAGAAAAACTACACTAATTTGAATTAAAAAAAAAACTTTTTTTATTTTTCAAAGAATATGGTCGGAACATACTGTGCTACTTGCCAAATAAACGGCTATCCTTGTTTATCTAACTTTTTGATTGTTAGAGTAGAAAAAGTTGATTTGAAAAAAAAGTAGTCGTACAGTTTTCATGAAATGAAATTGAATGACTAGCATTTTTCATTGGCTCCACTTATGAGATTGTCAACCGGAGTAAGTCGCAACTTTGCGCAACGAAAAACCCACGCGACTTCGCGCGAGTCAGAAGAGATAAGTCACGTTTCTGTGCGACTAAAAAAATTCAGCCTGATTTTGCGCGATCCAAAATCGATGAGTCACGACTATAATTTCAATATCAATAAATTATAATTCTCGCGTTTTGCCTGATAAACTGTGATGATGTTTGGTCAGAACAGATGTATTATTCAGCTTTTCGCATATTTTCTGGCCATGTTTGACCAGAACAGAAATAAAGTATTTGTTTTTCGCCTGATACTTCGCGATGATGTTTGACCAGAACAGAAGTATACAATAGTTTCAGATTCAGTTTTTTAGTTTCAAAATCCACATCGTCACGGGTAGCTTATAGCATATTTTGTTTTGAAATTTTATTTCTCCGAATAGTTGATCAAATAGTTTCTGAGAACTGCAAGCATTGTGCAATGAAATTGAAAACTTGGCGCAAAACTAGTTAAAGTTATTCTGGTGACTGATCCATATGTTTTTGAAAGCAACACCCGCAATATCATCCCCACTTAATTGAACAAAGCGTAAAAAATGACAAAAAAATGAAACTTAAAGTTGTTTGATTCTTACGTTCGCTGGTATTAAGTGAAGAGCTTGCTCGTTCCAATATCTCTTGCTCTTCCAAAGCAGTCAGAGGATATCCCAGCTCATCAACGTGTGCGTCCGGGAGGCAGTTGACATCATTGGAGATGGAATCGGGCAATTTTTCATGGCAACTGGGCACCGGACACTCTCTTAAAACAAACTTTCAAATAGCCTAGTGATTACAAAAATACTATTGTTTTAAGCCGAGCTTTTAATAGCTGAAGGATAAAAATTGTTAATAGCTGAAGCCAACTTTAAAATCATGCAACTCAGCTATGATTTTAAAATTGGCTGTTCATGAAACTTCGGAGCGACAAAAATGGTAACTTTTCTGAGCGGAAAAATTTTCAATTTATTTTAAGCTGAAAAGTTAGAAAAAAAATTAGACTAATATATATACATATAAAACAGAAAAAAATTTAAATTACACTGTTGATACACAGCCCGGGTTGAATTAACAGGAAAAATTATCACAAATTCAGAGATATCGCAGCGATTACCATCTATGGTTCAGTCTATGATCAGTGTCATTTTATCCATAATCAGGGCTAAATAATCGCTGTAATAGCGCTGATTTTTCAGGTCTGAATCAGACATAAATCACCTATGAATCAGGGATTCTTTTTCACTGCAACAGCCCTGATGACATCTGATATTCCTGAATAGCCTTGAAAAATTTAGAGAAAATCAGTTATAATTTAAAGAGGATCACAGGTATCAGAATAATAACTGGTGAAAGCCAAAATATAAATGGTGCAACAATGAACATGGATTTTTTAGAAGTTAGTTCTTTAGTCCAGCTCACAAATTGGTTCACGACGTGAGTACGGTTTCCCAATCGAAATTCTATTTTGCTTATGTGAAACGCATTTTACTTGCGGTGACTGGTACCGGGCTTATGGACCCTTCAGAATAAGGTTACTGATTACTTCTTTGAAACCCTTCACACTGAGTAATTGGGGCCTTCAAGTATAACTGTGAGGAATCGCTCAATTTTACTCCTCAGGGCAATTTTTTTACTTGCTTCTCGTCAAACGGCAGATCCTAAAACGCCAAATCTTTTTAATCGGTTACAATGAATGCGAGTGAAAAACTGAATTAGTTTGTTTTGTTTATAAATTAATTTTATAAACAATTTATAATAACTAACCTGAAAAAGTCAAAACGCTGACTTTATAAAGCTCGCAAACTTTAGACCCAAATCATACCTACATGAAATCTTGAAATACAAAGCGTTCCTCGGAGAATTTTATCGCGAAGTTGTGCCATGAGCTGCTGTATCCCGAATATGCAAATGCCTAATGCAAAAAGACCCAAAAACAACCAACACATGATAACTTGAATTGTACAAAAAATTTGAAGAAAAATAACAATAACAAATTTTTTAGCCATATTTATTTCATACCAAAACGGACACAAGGAAACTTCGTGAAGAGAAAACAAATCCTTTATCTTTCAAAAGCCTTCATAATAGAGATAAAATGAAAACAAAAGACAGAATATGAAGTTATAAACAGAACATAAATATAAAGTTCAAAGTTTTTTTTTAACGACAAACCATCAAAGATTTCAACAAACAGAGTTTAATTACACTCATTAAAAAGATCGTTCTGCTATCTGAATTCTACAAGAAATGTCAAATGAAAATTTCAACAAGTTTTTCAGTTGTGTTCGCAATCTGTTGAAACCGTCATTATCAACGATTCGTTTGCCAAAACATTCGTCCGTCTCAACTGATCGAATTTTTTAGACTCATTTCTGCTGAAGAAAAATTTTTCATGAATTGGTGGCAGGGATAAGATCTTCAAGCTCCGTTTCTTGAACTACGAAAAAAATCCTGCAACTGGACCAATATCGGAAATATATGTAATCAGTTTCACTTTTGCGAACAATGTTTCGTCCATATCTGAAGGTATCATTGCGCTAAAATATTGAATTTGTCCAAAAGGATTTTACGAAATTGAATGTAGCTGTTACCAGCTCCAGGCGTTCTTTTGTAGCCAAATCATACCTACATGAAATCTTGAAATACAAAGCGTTCCTCGGAGAATTTTATCGCGAAGTTGTGCCATGAGCTGCTGTATCCCGAATATGCAAATGCCTAATGCAAAATGACCCAAAAACAACCAACAGATCATAACTTGAATTGTACAAAAAGTTTGAAGAAAAATAACAATAACAAATTTTTTAGCCATATTTATTTCATACCAAAACGGACAGAAGGAAACTTCGTGAAGAGAAAACAAATCCTTTATCTTTCAAAAGCCTTCATAATAGAGATAAAAAAAACACAAGACAGAATATGAAGTTATAAACAGAACATAAATATAAAGTTCAAAGTTTTTTTTTAACGACAAACCATCAAAGATTTCAACAAACAGAGTTTAATTACACTCATTAAAAAGATCGTTCTGCTATCTGAATTCTACAAGAAATGTCAAATGAAAATTTCAACAAGTTTTTCAGTTGTGTTCGCAATCTGTTGAAACCGTCATTATCAACGATTCGTTTGCCAAAATATTCGTCCGTCTCAACTGATCGAATTTTTTAGACTCATTTCTGCTGAAGAAAAATTTTTCATGAATTGGTGGCGGGGATAAGATCTTCAAGCTACGTTTCCTGAACTACGAAAAAAATCCTGCAACTGGACCAATATCGGAAATATATGTAATCAGTTTCACACTTGCGAACATTGTTTCGTCCATATCTTAAGGTGTCATTGCGCTAAAATATTGAATTTGTCCAAAAGGATTTTACGAAATTGAATGTAGCTATTACCAGCTCCAGGCGTTCTTTTGTAGGTGGGTGAGTCCTAATAGACTCGATTTATGATTTGCCGATTGAAAATTATAGCATCTGGGTAAAATCTTCCCCCCGTTTTGGCTTCGTTAGTTTGAACAGTTTCATGATTGAAAGTTACCGAGGGATCCAATTGCTCACAGCCCAGCCAACTATGGTACAACTTTTTCTAGAACTTTCTCGCTCTGAAACTTTTTGTCGATTCGGTTTCTCCGTAATAGATAACGTCACTTTAAGCAACAGAGCCTGAATAAAATTCAATGAATATTCTATTGGCAGCTTCGAAGCTCATAGTCAAAAAAGGCAAACGAGGCATAAAAAATTCGAACTTGAAAGGCCAAATGTCGCAACAAACGAAAATTTATTGTTTCGATTTTTGGATTAGCACCAAAAACTTGACAATATTTGAGCAGAAAGACTCTAACAAGATGCACGAGAGGTTATCAAGAAAGCGGAGGAAATACGAAAGAAGTCAAATTTACCTAAAATCATTTTCACCGATAATACGGAAAAACAACGAACCAAAAAATCGGAACAAAAAAAAACAACGGACCAAATAGGAACAAAATCCAGCCAGACAGAAACCGAGTTCATTTCTAAAACTACGCAAACAAAACTGTCTGGGGAACAAAAATCGGACGATCAAGTCTGGGTAAGCCGCGTGAACCCAACGAAGACAATACAAGAGGAAAAGAAACATAACGAGGTACCCCCAACAATGACCTCAAGTGACAGTTTCTCTATTGCTTCAGTTTTCTTGGTGAGCGGTGTTGTGCCATCACTATTAATGTTGAATCCTAACCACTCAATCTGTTTACAAGCGAACTTACATTTCTCAAGTGAAATCGCAAGGTTTTCTTCATCTAGCTTGTCCAAAACTGCTTTCAGCTCCTGTTGATGTAACTCTGTGAATCCCATCGTAACTATCAGTATATCATCTAAGTATGCATATGTGTTCGTGCAGTTTGTCAAAATTAGATCAATGGCTTTTTGAAATTCGGCTGGCATATCCGTGAGGCCGTAAAATTCCGTTTAGAATTGATACGTTCCGGCCGCGTTGCCACCGATTAAACTGAAATTGCATTTTTCGCGCGTTTTCTGATCCAGTGGAATTTGAGAAAATGCGTACCGAAGGTCAAGTTCTAAAAACAACATTGGTTTTGTTTTGTCTGATTTGATTATTTGCGCTATGTTATCCAGTAATAAATCGATATTAGGCATCTGATACTTGTTTCTATGGATAAATGTATTGATTTTCTTCGAATCCAACGCAAGTTTGACTGTTTGGTCCTTTTTCACTGTTATGACAATTGGACAGATGAGTTGTTTACCTGAGCATTTGTTCAGTTTGATAATGTGTTTCTGATCAATTAGTTTGTTTAATTCTACCTCCACACGTTCATGGTGGTGTATCGGAATGCGTCGACCCTTCTGTTGTATCGGAACGAGCTCTTCAATGAACTGTGTTTTCACTGTGTGATTTTTGGATTTTCCGATACGTACACACAGTTGTGCGAAATTGTCTTTGACCCATTGTTTAATTGCTGGATCAGACTCTTCTTGTTCTCGTATAGCGTGTACGTTTTGTTTTTGCAGATTTCTTCCAATAATGTTCGCTTTTTTATCATCTACCACGATGAACGGAGCTAAAATTAGTTTTCCAACCCCCTGACTCGATAGTAATAATCAATCTTCCTTTTGGAACGATCGTTTCACACCATTATTGCACGCTAAACTTCGTACGGAGTCTCCTGTTGGAATAGTTTACACAGTGCTTTTTTGTCGTGTTGTTGAATGCGCCTTGCGGTTTTTTCGTTTAGAAAGAACATTGGGCTTCCCGAATCGGCAGTAGCAAACAATTGTTCAGAATTTTTTTTTAATTTTACGATATGTCCGTTTAGATCGTCCTCAACTAATGTTCTTGTGTTTTTAATCTCGGATGATTCCGCGATTGCCATCACCGAAAAGTTATCTATTTGATAATCGTCCCAACCCTTGCTGGAAGAAAAATCAGCAAACGCTACTGGATCATTTTCTGTTTCGAGGCTTTCAGTGTCGAGCTCCTCCTGTTGGTCTATTTGTGTATCTTCTAGAGAGTTGACCTGTGTGGACAGTTATACTTTAGCGAAATCGCCCCGTTTCGCGCATTTTGCACAGATTTTATCTTTAGCGGGACAAGACCATAAATGACTTTGATTTTACTTAATTCCGCATTTATAGGACTGTTTTTGACTGCCGGTGTTAGTAGCTCTTTGTTGTCCTCTGCTATTTTGCGACCCGCGTTGAAACGGTTTCCCGCGGGCGCCTCGCCCTCTTTGTGTATTTTGGCTGTTAGAATAGTTAGCGCGACCCCGCGTGTTTATATAGTTGACCGGGTCTTGCTTTGGCGTAATCAGATGTCCGCCAAACGGGTTGGTTTTCATAGTTCTACTATGTTCAAAACATTTTTCTCTACGTATTGCATATTCATATGCTTCTTGTGGGCTGCTGGTTTGTGCCAATAATTCTTCGGCTATTTTGTCATTGTTCATATGTGCAGTGAACATGTCCCGAACCCATTCACCCTCGCAATCTCCGCAATCAGCTCGTGATGCTAGTTCCAAGAGGTGCGAATGAAATTGTTCTAAGCTCTCTGCCTTCTTTTGTTTTCGACAGCTGAAATTATATCTTTCAAAAGCGATGATTCTAGTTGTTACAAAAATATCCTCGAGGATTGTCATCAGTTCTTGTGTGGAAACATTGTGTAATTCCAAATTTGGACGTTTCTGTTGTATTTGTTTTTGTTCTTCCGCTCCTAAACATAAGAATATGTTGTTGCGCACTTTTGCGTCTGCTTCGTCCCATCTGAATGAATTACAGAGTACTCCTTTCTCCCTTGCTTTTATCACATGGTTGTCCCAACCAACTCTTTTCTCTTGATTTCTGACCTCCCTGTTCTTCCTTGTGCTCCGGTTTCTCCCGTGATTTCAACCTCGTACACTGGCTCTGCTGGTTTGACTAACAATGGTCGGCCTCTCAAAAAATTTCCTGCTTCTATCCCATGTTTCGCGAATATAGCCAGTTCCATTAATGCAACCCACTTAGACCATTCTATTGGTGGTTCGACAAATGCCGTCTCCCAGAACGGGTTTACGTTGAGTGGGTTTTTGGAGTATCCTGATGGCTGCGCCATTTCATACCTCAATGTATGATCTTCTAATTCCAGAATCAGAATGGATCGACAAACAGATAATCTAACGCGAAGCGAGATAAAAACAACTATTCGGAACCAATGTTAATTCATGGTCTGACCGTTTATTCTGTCGTTATTCTGAAGGTCTCTCAAGGTCGATTGAGCAGCCATATTTATGGTTATATCATACAACAACATAAAACATATGTATAAATGTATATATCGAAGTTTTGTCGGTCCATGCCGGATGACACACTATATGACATTATTTTTTTTTAGAATTTAAGTTTTTTTTTTAATTTTTATTAAATTTTTTAAAATATTTTTTCAATCAAAAGAAAAATCCTTATTTCCGAAAACTGATTCCCGTTCTGAAAAAGTCTGCCAGATTCACTGAAGCCAATATAGCCTCAAAAGTTTTCAAATCGCAACTACCAGACGCAATCTATTCACATAATTCGTAGTCTGCGCGGCATTGATCATTTCGCTATTACATTCTCGCCAATCTATCACAACACTGATGAAGCAAATTATAAACATCGTCGTCTTACAATGTTTTTAGATAATTCGGACAAGAGTTGTGATGAATTCGGGCACCTGATGAATTGATCAAAAAATAATGCAGTGTTGGCCAATTTAGTGATTAAATTTCACATGTGAAAATATTTTATGCATTTAACGTTCATTATGTAGTTATCGCAATTTCAAAACACCTGATGTCTATCGTGCTTTCTTTCAAGACGCATTCCAAGGTTTCTTAAGTCAATTTTTATCAAATTAACTTTTTTAGAAATTCACTTTTTTCAGTTTTCTGTCTCTGCAAAAGCCATCACTTTAACCAAATTTTAAGGCAATAAGGATGAAATGAAGAAAAAACGTGTCATTTCACTTACATAGTTGGGTTTACACTGTTTGAAGACCCAAAGAAAACACTCTCGAGAAACTATTTTATATAAAAAAGCAAAATATATAGAACCCCCGAAATTCTGAAACTGTGTCGACGCATTGAAGAAAAAACGTTCATTCCATCGTATTTTTGTCTTACCGGTTTTCTGACGACAAAATTTGTGCAGCACAGTTTTGGTTGCTGCTGTTGCCACATACACAATGGCCACATGGAAGCCTTTTGGGCCTCTCAAAGGGTCTGAGGCAACAACTGCAGAAAGTCTGCTTCTCATTGGTCAGTCTGCCCATTGCTTCTGACATACACCAAGTTTTTGAACTCAAGCTAAAATGAAAGACTCTCTTTATGCATCTGGGTTTTTCGACAACTGTTTTTTATTTTGGTTACCTTTTGATAAGAATCGACTATTTATTTTTTGTACAAACCAATTTAGCTGTCATAGTTATCAATTAAGTCCAAAACACTCAAGCAATGCTGACACTTTTTTGGACATTTGCAGAAAATTGCAGTGATAAACCACATCAATTTTAAAAGCTAGCAGAACCAAAATTAATTTTAGAAAAAGTTAATCAATAAAGCAGAAAAGGGTACGCAAAGCTGGTAGAAATCAGCTCAAAAACACAAATTGTCAAATACAATAATCTAAAGTCAATGACCATACGGTTTTCTGTTTGTTTTTATCCTCAAAAACCGACTTTGAGTCGATGTGATTAAAAAACTAAAAATCATCAACATCAATCAAATAAGTGCATATACATACTTATTCGATACATGCTTTTTGCGAGGGAATACAGCAAGCTTAACATTTCGTTTCACCTGTTCCACTTACGTGTTTTGACTTGATCCAGCGATGGGCCGGCTTCAGGGGGTCCACAAATGTTTTTCGTCAAAGCTTCAAAATCTCTGCTTTAAAAGAAAATACTGTAAGAATGTAGACTATGCAAAATCTTTGCTTGAATAAACTTTCACCTCACGTGATACACAGTATAAAGTAATTATCAATTTAGCGTATGCAAAAAACGTCCAAATTTTTAACCACTTCAACCTTTTGATAAGTAATGGCCTGCACATTAACTACCAAATTTGGGACTCTATGCTTGAGTTTAGCTTCTAGCTCTACGTAATTAAAAATTGTTAGCTTTTTGAACAAAATTGTTACAACTAGCTTATACGCTTTCATGATATGAGCTTACGGCTTCTATAACCAGTCGAGAGAGAAACATTCTAAAGATATTCAAAACATTCTTTTCTTTCAGACTACTTTTTGCTGAATAAAATCAAATCCAATTAAACCAAACAAGATGGTTTAAGAAAATAAACAGTGCTTCAGTTCTTTTTTTTCGTTTTGGCTTGTAAATTTTTGACATGACCCTCGCGACCAACGTTTGCCTTCCCAGGTTTAAGTTACCCTTTTAGTTACCCTTACTCTTTTTTCGAGCATTTGTATGTTGTATGCTAGTTTGCATATGAAACTTAATATTTTTTGTCATGCTTATGAATTGGAAATAGATTTTGACAATTATTCAAATGATGAAGGAAGCTTCAGCGTAAAATAGTTTTTGACTGCTACTTTTTTCAGCGCAGAAACTAACTAACCCCGTAAGCGTTTATGAATATAATTTATCCAATTGCCAATAACCTGTTTGTCAATAACCTGAGTAGATGAGCAGAACTCAGAGATTTTCAAACAAAAACACGAGAAGCATGATAAATTTAGTCAATTAAAAAGAAAAGTGCACGTTTCCAATCGACAAACAACTTGCGCTGTTGCCAAAAATTAAGAACGTTCTTAATGTCAGTTTTCACCAGGAACAACTCTACTGAATTCAATTGAAGCCGTTCGCACTTCGAAAAAAAATTGACAACTACTTTTTGTTCCGACTTTCGGGCTCTTTTTCCTTTTCCCCCCCACCTGCAAATTTTTACATGCTAATTTGTTGACCGCATTGTCCAATTGTTATGAAAATTTACATACAGACTAATAAAGCCACGACAAACATATTTGGTCTTCATACTCAACCTCGTAAAACCATTCGTTACACTAATAAATTGAAGCTCGTGTGAGGTGGGGGGAAAAGGAAAAAGAGCCGACTTTCGATACGAAAGTAACGGAATATTTGTGCTCGGGGTGGGTTTTTTTCTTCAGGCAAAATTCGACTTTTTAACTAGCCATTTTTCACGCAATTTTTAAATATCATTAGAAAGGTATTGTTGTCTTGAGCTCAAAATTGAAAAAATATTTTACCTGTGATCAATTTTGGCAAAGTTACGGGGGTTTAAAGATTGCCATTTAGACCAATTGGGGACAATTAACGCGCAATATATTTCGCGCTATTAACGCGTAAGCGGAGAGTTAATCCGTCTTAGAAATCGTTCCAAATTGTTTGAAAGAAGCTTATTTGCCTTAATTGATTTGTTACAAGGAGCGAAATCTATCCTTTATACTTTATTTGGCGTGAAGTATAGAGGATAGCCAGCCCCCTTTATATTCATTTTGTTATATTTCATGAAATTTTTTAATGTTTTTCTAGCTCCATAAACCATGAGAGGCAGTCGGAACATTCAGGGCTTCACCCTGATACGAGCAGTCTTGTTTGTATTTCTGATTTATACGGTTTCTATTTTTTTTTCTTTTTTCAGTTTTCAAACGATCACGACAATGAGCTAAGACTTGATAAAACAATAGAAGCATACCTATTACAAGCTCTATAACTTGTTATGATTTCTTTTAGTTTCAGATTTCAAATTATTAGTCACAATCAGGCGCGAATCTAGGAATTTCTCGAGGAGGGGCAGATTTTCAAAAAAATTTTGAAAATTTTGTCGACGTTTTTTTTAAGTTTCGACCAAATTGATTTTCTGAGAACTCTCCCAAAACACTATAAAAGCCCTAATTTAAACAAATTGTCTGCGCCGCAGCAAACTATTTTTGAAAAAAGGTCAGAAAAATGCATTTTTAGGCACTTTTTGGAAAATTTCGACAAAAAAATCGAGTTTTTTCGGCGCGCGCTCCCCCCTCAAAATTAGTATAGATTGGTGCCCAAGGCGCCTTTAGAAAAAAACTAAGGTCAATCAGACAAAAACGGATATCTCAAAATAGTGCAAAGGGGGACCCTTTGGGTCAGCAGGGGGTCGAACTCTTGAGGGAAGTCTTCCGCCAGCCTCCGCCCCCCCCATAAATCCGCTACTGGTCACAATACTTTCTTCAAAACGAGATATCTTTCTTCCCCTTATACAAAGTGGCCATCAGTTTTTCTTAAATATGACTGACGCTCTCGTTGCTGCAGTTTTCTGGTTCTATGCCCAATTTCGTAGGGCAACAAAAGTATTTGTTTATTTTTCAAGTAACGGCATTCATATGTAGATGTTCTCAAAAAATACTTTTCAAGGGATTTACAAAGGTTTTTCTTCAAAAGAACAAAAACACTGCTTCCAAATAAATTACTGTGAGAGTGTAGACCATGCAAATTTTTGCATGAATAAACTTTCAACCCATGTGATACACCGTATAATTTAGTTTGACAAGTATTATCTGCTGGGCAACAAAATAGTTTTCAATTTAGAGTACGCACTGTTAATTCCTAACATGTCTTCGGTTTCAAAATGTAGACTGGAATTGTTAGAAAACTGAAATGTAGACTTTTTGTGCGCAGTATTTGCTTCTCAAGTTTCTTAGATTATCACAAAGGTTTTCTTCGTTCAATTTTTTATTTTGACTTTCAAAAAGCGTTTGATCCTCTCTGTTTTTATAATTGTATTTCAATTATATCACCAATCTGCCTAATTAAATCACTGAATTTTTGCCAAGTTTTTTTAACCGATGGCCTGAAATGACTGTTTTGAGACAACTGTTCAATAAACCTCGGTGATTTATATAATCGGTCTGGTGCTGAGCCATGAAAGCAGGTCTCGGTTGTCATCAAGAAAAAACAAACTTGATATTACAAAAGTTTTTTTTGTAATTTTTTCTCCAACGGGTCAAAAAATATTCAGTTAAAAAATTTGAGAACAAGTTGCACACTTATGACAATCCAAAATTTTTTTTTTTTAACGCTAGAGATAAGTTTCTAGCTCAGCAGAGTTTTCAAAATTTTTGCTTATTAAATCAATTGAGAAAAATAATTATATAAAGTGGAAATTTTTGTCGATACATATCTATGATAAAAAAAGTAAAGCCGGGTAAACTCAAACGGTAAAGTTACGGGGGCTTAAAGATTACCATTTTGGCCAATTGAGGACAATTAACGCGCAATAAATTTCGCGCTATTAAGGCGTAAGCGCAGAGTTAATCCGTCTTAGAAATCGTTCCAAATTGTTTGAAAGAAGCTTATTTGCCTTAATTGATTTGTTACAAGGAGCGAAATCTATCCTTTATACTTTATATAGCGTGTGGGTGATGATTTTCATTTAAAAAATTCAAATTATGGAGAAAAAAAATTCATTTTGTTTTTTTTCATTAATTTTTTTAAATGTTATTACAGCTCCATAAACCTTGAGAGGCAGTCGGGACATTCAGAACTTCACCCTGATACGAGCAGTCTTGTTTGTATTTCTGATTTATACGGTTTCTGTTTAATTTCGTTTTTCAATTTTCAAACGATCACGACGATGAGATAAGACTTGATAAAACAATAGAATCATACCTATTGCAACCTCTACAACTTGTTAAGGTTTCTCTTGTTTCAGATTTCATTTTATTATCACAATCAGGCGCCAATCTAGGATTTTCTCGAGGAGGGGCGGATTTTCAAAAAAATTTTGAAAATTGTGTTGACGTTTTTTTTTTAGGTTTCGACAAAATTGATTTTCTGAGAGCTCTGCCAAAGCACTATAAAGACCCTTGTTTAACTATTTTTTTGCGCCGCGGGCGAATTATTTTTGGAAAAAATTCAGAAAAAAGCATTTTTAGGCACTTTTTGGAAAATTTCGACCAAAAAATCGCGTTTTTTCGGCGCGCAAGCCCCCCCCCCCCCCCCCCCCTCAAAATTAGTATAGAATGGCGCCAAAGGCGCCCTTAGAAAAAATTTAAGGTCAATCAGCCAAAAACGGACATCTCAAAATAGTGCAAAGGGGGACCCTTTGGGTCCGCAGGGGGTCGAATTCCTGAGGGAAGTCTTCCGCCGAACCCCGCCCTCCCCCCCTCAATCCGCTACTGGTCACAATACTTTCTTCAAAACGAGGTTTCTTTCTTCCCCTCATACAGAATGGCCATCAGTTTTTCTTAAATATGACTGACGCTCTCGTTGCTGCAGTTTTCTTTTTCTATGCCCAATTTCGTAGGGCAGTAAAAGTGTTTGTTTATTTTTCAAGTAACGGCATCCATATGTAGATGTTTTCCTAAAAAAACTTTTCAGGGGATCTACAAAGCTTTTTCTTGGAAAGAACAAAAACACTACTTCCAAATAAAATACTGTGAGAATGTAGACCATGCAATTTGTTGCATGAATAAACGCTCAATCCATGTGATACACCGTATAATGTAATTTGACAATTATTATCTGCTGGGCAACAAAGTAGTTCTCAATTTGGAGTACGCACTGTTAATTCCTTACATATTTACGAGTTTTGAAATGTAGACTGGAATTTTTAGAAAACTGCATTGTAGACTTTTTTGTGCGCAGTATTTGCTTTTCAAGTTTTTTAGAATATCACAAAGGCTTTTTTTGTTCAATTTATTATTTTGACTTTCAAAAACTGTTTGATCCTCTGTGTTTTTATAATTGTATTTCAATTATATCACCAATCTGCCGAATTAAATCACTAAATTTTTGCCAAAATGTTTTGACTGATGGCCTGAAATAACTGTTTAGAGACAACTGCTCAATAAACCTCGGTGATTTATATAATCGGTCTGGTGCTGAGCCATGAAAACAGGTCTCGGTTGTCATCGAGATAAAACAAAAGTGATATTACTAAAGTTTTTTTTGCAATTTGTTCTTCAACGGGTCAAAAAATGTTCAACTAAAAAGTTTGAGATTAAATTGCACACTTATGACAAACACAATTTGTTTTTTTTAATGCTAAAGATGAGTATATAGCTCAGCAGAGTTTTCAAATTTTTGCTTATTAAATCAATTGAGAAAAGAATAATTATAT